AATGACCTTAGTTGACCTTTCTCGGCTTAGCCTCTCTACGTGTATCCTCGTCTAAGCCATAGAGGCGACATCAGCATGGTGTGTAAGGCATAAATGGTCATAAATGAATAAAATGAATATGAAATGGAGGTTTTACTTTGCTTCTCCACTTCCAAAGCATAAGTAACTTGAGAAAATAAGGGTGACGACTTTTCCATTATCGAATCTATTATATTTTGACACACAGCGTTTACGAAATATATTTTAGATAATTTTTTTCTATATTTCAAGATATTTACCCAGTATACCTTTGATAAAAATAACGAAAAAGAGTAATATAAAGTGAAACACTGACACGACATAAACAGAAGAAAAACGTGAAAAAATTAGTCATCAGAAATACATGATTTGCGCCTTTATGAACTAATTGCTTTTAAAGAAAGGATTTATTAAAGTGTATGTGTGTACATACATGCATACATTTATACATATATACATATACTCACGGTAATCATGTATGTGAAAGCATGGCGGAAGCTAGCAACAAAAGCCTCCTGGAATTTGCAAAACTCCCGTTATTGAGATTTAAATCGCGGATAAAGGCCATAGCATGCGAAATCCAGCTTTCTTCACCCATGGCAAAGTCCACAAACACCAGACCCAAGAAATGGACTTTTTATACGAAACAACAAATGTATAATGCTAAATACTAGCGTTTTCTCGCTACTCTCATCTAGTCAGCTGACGGAGGAACGTGGACACAAAATGTAAACAAACAGGCGAGCAGCTAGTTGCCAACTTGTATCTGTTTTTATTAAATACAATAGATAATTTTGGCAATATTTAAGTATTATTTTCAATTTAGACTGTCTTTTGAATCGTTTTATATCACAAATAATTTTTTGTACATTACTATAGCGATTATCTATTATAGCTTATGATTTTAACCAAAAAGACCACGGAAACCTGTCAGCGAAAACGATAAGAAGAAGAAAACACAGAAATAATGCTAGTGTGACACCCCCTTTAAGTGACCTCGACAGCCCTAGCTTGTAATTACCGTTAATCCCTAATTATCTCATTAGTGTTCGTCACCTTTCTTTTGTCTCGAACAGCGGGAGGTCCGTCTTGTGACCCATTCTCGCCCTTAAGGACAGGTCATAGAGGCGGTTTTCCCATCTCTGGCTGTTACTTTGGGCTGATTTAGCTATTGTCAAGGAATACATATTAAAAAATGTATAACCATTAGTATAAAACATAAAATGACCTCTAATAAAATAAAGCACATCTACTTTTCTATAGTGAAGGACTCAATACAAACTTCTTTGACATCTTACAGTATGACAGAATTCGATTAAATTAAAGTCCACAACAGTTACCAAATAACATGAACATTACTTCCAACACACAAGAATTATAGGTTAACAACTATTTTCATCAGCCAGTGGAAAGCTATATTTCCATTTTTCTGACCCGAAAAAATAAGGCTCATTATTGTCTGCCACGGCTGTTGAGAGATGGGAATATCGTCCTTACGAGCTTTCCATAAGGGCGAGAATGGATCACAAGACGAAGGCCCCGCTGTGCAAACAAGCTAATTAGCGTTTAGGACCAATTACAACCAAAAGGACCATTAATACCTCTATAGGGTCTACACATCGATAGTGAATGACCTCACTTGACCTGTCTCCGTTTGGCCTGTCATAATCACCAAGGCATGAGCCAGGTCAGGTCAGGTCAGGTCACAAGCGGAAGTGGGATATTGCTATACTACTCTCCCCCCCAACCCCCGGATCTAAGATTTACGGGTATATAAAAGAATAAATTTATTTCAAGTCGACAAGCCTATTGTCAAAGATATTAATTTTTCCGAAAATATCGTTTGTACACACATCGCCTACCGATTGTCATCTGAAAAAAATGCAGCAAAATAACCCACATTTTACTAAAAAAATAGTATTATTAAAATAAAATAAAATAGTATTATTAAAAATAGTATTATAAAAAAGATATATGTAGAAGTGTCAGTGGATAAATATAAAAAATAAACTGGTATATGTAATTCATAAGCCGGTATAATTACTTTCCATTCGATTCTAACCGGTAAGGAATGGTAAAAAAAAGCCTAAAATACACAAACGAGATTTATTGATAAGGTAAAAACTACATAAAATCTATAACTGTTAGTTCATAATTTATGTTCTTTACTATATGATGGACATTCTGCTGTGAGAACAAGATCCTCGTGTTGAGGCAAGGAAGGAGATGGACATTAATAAGCGCCTGGTATATTGTACACACGCACACGCACACGCACACACATACACATACATACACATACATACACATACATACACATACATACACACACACACACACACACACACACACACACACACACACACACACACACACACACACACACACACACACGTGCAATGTGAAATACGTAACAATCTTTATTTGAAATTCAGACACATCTTACTTCCTCCTGGATCAATAAGCGACAACCAAAGGAAATGATATGCGAAATTCAACCTTAGGGCAAAGTCAACAAAGACGCCACTGGGGGACACTGTCCAACGTCTCTCGCGGCTTGTAATTGCCCTTAATCTTAATCTTTGCTTATCCTGTTAAGTGTGTCGTCTTCCTTTTGTCTTAAGAAAATAGGGGGGCGTGTCGGCACAGCGGGAGGGCCCATCGTGTGACCAATTCTCGCCCTTAAGGACAGGCTATAGAGGCGATTTTCCCATCTCCGAAAGTCGGTTTGACCTATGATGGATAAGCCGACGTCAGGTCAGTAAAGAAATGAAATATCTTTTTATTACAACTTCGATCCTCAGATTTAAGAATTTGAAAAAGAATTCATCTCTTTCATGCGGCTAAGCATTCACATAAAAAAATGCAAAGATCTTTTGAAAATAGTGCGAGGCCAATTTTATAGCCAAATTTTATGTCCTACACGTGGTATCTTATAGAAATCGCCCTTATATTTCTAAGATTTAGTATCACCCATAAAATATGACCTTCATTTATATTTGTATTCTCTCAATTTGTTATATTATATTTCATTATATCCAACAGAGACTATGTAGGGATGAAAATACCAAAAGAAAATATAATGAATTCAATGGCATTTCACCCTACCATACCTGTCAAAACAAAGATCATAAACATACCAGCCTTTTGACCTGAACCGCAATATTTATCATGAGATACAGCTGTTGTTCGGGGGACGGGAATATCGCCCTTACGAACCTATTAAGACCCAGCCGCTGACCGAACTTAACCCCCTTTTGTCTCAAATCATAGGGAAGGTCATGGACTTCATCGAGTGGGTGACCTGAGGCTGAGAGAGGTCTCCACCTCCTTCAATCGAATCTGACCTGATTCTCCTGGAAACTGACCACTGACTGACGGTAAACTGCTCTCCACCTCCTTTATATATATATATCCTACGTGTAAACTTTGCAGTCCTTCTTGTGACCCATTTCCACCCTTATGGATGGGTAGGTTAAGGCCATATTCCGATACAACAGAAGACAATGCCCGTGTCAATGAAGATTATGACCAAATTTAACGGTTTGAAATTCTACTCGAAGAAATATATAGGAAGTATAATTAGCGTATTGGCAATTGAGAATATTGTGCCATCGATTAATTAATATAATTAATATAATTAGCGTATTGGAAACTGAGAATATTGTGCCATCCAAACACCAAAAAAAAAAGAACAATAACAGCATTACAATATAGCGAACGCCTCAGTTAATGTATAAATTACATTTCTGACTAAGGAATTTTGACCTTCTAACTTGGCAGTATAGCTCATTTCAGTAGGATAGGGGGATATCACCCTTATCACCAGTCCATAAGGGCGAGAATAGGTCACAAGGCGGACTTCCCACTGTGATTGTCTCGGGGCAAAAAGAAGGTAATAAATCTTCTTCGATCCAATATCATCTATGACGTAATGTTTTCCACAATAAATAATACCTATCGTAATGGGGTTGGAATACCACTGGGATCCGTACTAAGAAGGGGAAATTCTAACGACGGTGTCAAAAGAAAAGGACAAACTACACTCCAGATTGTAGAGTTTGGTCGCGCTATTTGGTCAAATTCCTTTCAGCGAAAATGTGGTTCTCCGGTGACTTTCCGCGCACGGTTAGTTCTTTTTTAAAATCATCTTCCGCGCATAAAATTCTTTTGACATTTCGCCTCCGCGCATGAGAAAAAAAAATAATAATAATATTCCCCTCGCAAGAAAAATACTCTGGACTACACTCGCTGATACAGGAAAATCGGCGCAGGTAAAGAAATTGTCAAAAAGAGAGCAAGTCCATGACGACACATCTGTCTAAATCTGCACCTTTTTTTAATATCATGACGTAATTATGTCTTTCCTCGCTTTAAATTTGACTTTCTCGTTTCGTTTGCATTTTGTTCTTCCATTTTAGAAGCATTTCATGTCTGTTTACTAAAATTCCATATACTCTAGATTAACCCAGTTATTTACAGAACGGCCGAACTAAAATATGAAAAATCTAAAGGACACTAAACAAAAGAAAGAAAACAGGAATAAACTAAACTAACTGATACGTAATAGAATCTGCGAAATGCGAAGAATATATAATTCGGAGAGCCGAGGAGGTCACTGTAATTCATCCCATCATAGCCGACAGGAGATATCTGAGATGGGAAAATCGCCTCTATGACTCGGCCTCAGGGGTGAAAATAGGTCACATGACGGGCCTCCTACTCTACGTTTGTTTTTTGTTTTTTGTTTTTTTTTGTTTTTGTTTTATTGAAAGATAAAGGTAATGGGCCTAACGACTGCAGCTGATGTCAATTACAATGAACTAGATCATTTAGTAACTACATATATCTTTAAGACCAGATCTAACGGTCGAAATTCTGATCATAGAAATATTGGAAATATAATTCGTTCACTAGTAACTTTTTATAGACTCGGATACCAAATATTCTTTTTAGCAATGACACCCGAACATAACACATACCTTAAGAACATTATGGTGTGCGTTGTTCATTACAATTCTATGGGATAAAAGTCTGAAGAGTGTTCAAAGTGAAGCACGCGCCTGGCTGTCAACAACA